AATTGTGAATCTTGTACACAAAGTGTACAAGCCCACGCTGTGCTAGCTGAATAATTCTTTGGAAGCCTTTGCAAGAGGCAGCTGGTTTTCTTAGTGTGTAGTTGCCTACACACTGAGCACTTCAGAAAGCCGTATTTTGTTGTTGTTCCCTTGGAAATGAATCTTCAGACAGGCAAGATCACTGCCGCTTGCATCAACTAGGTGGCTAAAATGTGCTTCATTTACACGAGACAGCTGCCAGCATATAGCTCTTGTTTTTAGCTTGGTCATCTGAGGGTGTGGACAGGCATAACAGTTATGCTGATTGAAAAGGAAGGGGCTTAGCACAGCTCAGCTGAATCCACTGTAAGTGGTTAAGTTGTCCACTGTATCTCCTGGTAAGTGGCAGCTAATCTGCAAAAAAGTATCTCCTGTATTTATTTGGGGTAAGTCATTGCAGTTTAACTCCACTTAATATTGCAGGGTAGCAGCAGATGGATGCAATATATCAGCTGATGTGTGCTTTCAAGTGATGAGGTACTCCCTCCCCGCTCTCTTGTTCATCTGTCCATGCCCAAATGTTAAAAACAATAATCCTGAGCAGCAGGATGAAAAAATAAGGAAGAGGGCCTCAATCTTTGGTGTGATGTAGGTTATTTTGATAACAGGTACTAGAAATGCCCTGTGAAATGGCCCTTTCCATTTTGATGCAAATGAACGCTTTTACATAAACTGAAATGAGTGGAAATGTGAAGGAAAGTTCTTCCATTTTCCTACCTGTTTGCTAACTACTTACAGATTCCTTTACTTTATCTCTGTCCTGATTGTATTTGTCTTCCTTCTTTAAGTGAGGGCCTGCTGTTCTCTTGTGCATATAGTGATATGATGGAATAATATTGCATGACTATATGAAAAGCATACTTCTCTGATAATTTCTATGATTCTGTGACACATTTATCTCATGTGTTTGGTTTTTATTATCTTTCAGTACCTGTACCAGCCTCAGTAAGTTCTGCTCTAAACTCAGGCACCTTGATTTGGCTTCCTGCACTTCCATAACCAACTTGTCTCTAAAAGCACTGAGGTAGGAACTGAATGCATGTGCATCCTATGCACCAGTTGATTATATATAGCTTGCCCCACTGCATCTCCAATATCTGAATTCTCTGCCAAAGACTGACATGGATTGATAGGAGCTGTGATCAGAAACTTAGGCATAAGATATGAGTGCTTTGCTGCGTAATGCTTTGTGGTTCACAGAGGTAGAAAGGAACTAAATTGAAGATGCTCCCAGTTTTGTTTGCATCCATCCTGCTAATGATTAGTAGCAGTAAAATAATTAGATTATATTAAAGAGGTTGCCCTGTTGAGTAGGAACAGGTGTAGATGTAATCTTTCTTTACGTTAGCATACCTTGTTAAAGATCTTTCAGTCAAACTGATGTCTGAATTGTACCATTAGTGTTGCATGTATACCAGGTATCCTGTAGTTATGAAGTGAACATTGGCACATGATTGATTGTCTTTTAAAACTGCTTAAATGATATGCAACCACTTAAGCCTACTAAATATAATTGCCAAGCAGTCTAGAAATGGAAGGGAAAGGCAGACAACAGTGGGAAGAGACTGGGACAGAGGAGGAGAGGCAAAAGAACACTGAAGATAATAATAGAGGTTGGAGGTTGAGAGGTTAAAAATAAGCTTGATGAAGTTGAATTTTAAACAAATGAATCTATCTGAAAAGGATAAAAGTAAAGAAAGTCTTCTCGAACACAAATAAAATATGAAAAGGATGTATCAAGGTGTTTAAGGAAAAGCACAGAATTGGAAGAGCAAACAAGGGAGATCATTTTGCAGTTGGGTTTAAGCACTTTAAGCCTGAATGCATATATAGAAGTATTTTAACCTGATCACTAGTTTTGTAGGATCAGCTTTACACCTGCGATTACTTGCAAAGCTAAATGCTAAAATGTACAGGTCTGTTTACCTGACTGCACATCAGATTTATAAATGTTGTTCATTGTAGTGCATGGTTGTGCAAAGTACAGCCTATAGGTCAAATCTGACCCACCAACAGCTTCAATCCAGCCCACAGGTGGATGACCGCCAACTCATTGGATCTGGTCTGTGGGTGGCCAGTGGCTCTGGCTGCTGGGTGGGCAGGTGGGACTGCTTCCACCTAGCAGCATCAACCCGTGACCTGATGGCATCAGCTGTGGACCCAGGCAGGGCTTCCACTGCAGCCATTGTGGACACCACTGGCAGGTTCAGGAGCCCAGATGCAGAACCTGCTGGTGGCATCCACAGCTGATGCTACCACCCACCTGGTGCAACAGGAACTGCTGCCCATAGCCCCAACCCAGAACCTGCTGGCAGCCTTAGCTGTGGACCCAGGCAGGATTTTCTGCCATGCCAGGTGGGCAACAACATCTCTCTCTCTCTCCGTGTGTGTGTGTGTTTCTCTCTCTGTGTGCGCATCTCTGTGTGCACGCATCTGTGTATGGGCGTGTTTATGTCTGTATGTGTGTATGTCTGTCTGTCTCTCTTTCCCTTCATCTAGAATGCAGCCAAAGCTGTAATTCTCCAGGAGCCCCAACACTCAGCTGTGAACCCAGGCAGAAGCTTCTCCACACTGGGCAGGCAGCAGCAGCAGCTGTCACTGCCGGAGGTTCCGCATCAAGGTTCTGAAACCTGGTGGCTGTGCCCACAGCTAACACTGACATTTGCCTGATCTGGCAGAAGCCCCCACCTGGATCAATAGCTGAGCATCAGGGCTCCTGGCAAACTTACAGCTTTGGCTGGGTTCTGGAGGGAGGGGGAGAAAGGGAGAGAAGAAAACGAGAGCAACAGAGAGACAGAAGAGAAGAGAGAGAGATGGATGTGGCCCTCAACAGGTCTCCAAAGCTCATTAAGTGGCCCTCCAGCCAAAATAATTGCCTACTCCTGTTGTAGCAACTCTGCAAATGCAAAGCTGTATCTGGCAAATCTGAAGCAGTGTGTCAGACACTAAGCCCTTTAAATTTTATTTAACAGTTGTTTGCCTGGATCCCCACTTCGGATACCATAGATCAATCTTCTTTTCCCCAAGAGCTACAATAATGTCTCATTGGTGTCTGATCCTACTGGTGGAGAGCTCTTTTTTCTTAACTGGAGACTGTTTAATAAGCAAGTGGCTGTATCGGTGTTGGGTGTGGGTGTTACCTCCTGTGCTCACTTGGACTGAAGGGGAAGTTTCCTATGCTGTGGCTTAAAGCAGGATTCTTTCAAGTTTTCAATCACTTTTTTTTCTTTTCTTTCACCTCCCAAGTGAGGGATGCCCACTGCTAGAACAGCTGAATATCTCTTGGTGTGACCAAGTGACGAAGGATGGGATCCAGGCTCTTGTGAGAGGATGTGGGGGATTGAAAGCCTTGTTCCTGAAAGGCTGCACACAGGTATGTCCTTACAGAGACCATGTCCATTCAACTAAGTAAAACCCTGAGTTTCTGATTGCTGAAATATTGTGGATTTTGTTTTTCCAAAAAATACTAGATCTTGAATAATTTCAGTTAGATACCAGTTAGAGTGAGCGCTTCCCTGAAGCTTAAATAGCTTTGAACTCGGCATGAGTAGCTGAACATAGATTTTATTTGTGTGGTCTATTGGCAGAATTACTTTTTTTTTTCTTCAGGGGACATAATGGGCAAAATCATGTGCATGTGGATTTTTTAAAAAGGGAAGATAACTTGGTTAAGTCTCTGGATGGAATTGACCCTTTTCAAGGCTCAGACAGTAATAGAAAGCTCAGCTGTAGTTGCATCTGGCACCACATGATCCAATTCCATCTCCTTGCAAAGTGGACTCTTCCAGCCTGCCAAAGTAAAACTGGACTGTAAATGACTCTTTTCAAAGGTTTTTTTTCCTGCAGCTAGACAGACAGAGTTATCATTTCCATATGTCATATCATTTCTCTAGACTGTTTCCAGACCAATATAGAGTAACATGTTATGAAGACACTCAACATAGATGGGTCTCCAACCCTAATACATATGATTTTAAACTGTGAATTAGCTTTTAAGGCTGAAATATGTTACTCTTCTATTACATACCTTTTGTTGTTTTGATTTAATTTTCTTTTAACCTCATTGGGCTGTGAAAGTACCTACCCCTCAATCGAGAATGAAATTCGCATAGCATTTTTCATGTATTACATATATAAGAGCTTGATGTGTTAAATATGGCTAATACTGTGACTTTATTTAGGCACCCCCCTAACACTTGAGAATTTGACAGTAGCTGACATCTCATTGAGCATTAGAGTCTCACGCTGAGGATATGAACCTAACCCTGGAAAGCCAGAAAGGGCCAAAGAGACCAATATCATCCAAAGAACAATACCATCAAATAGTGTAATGTTTCCTTTAATATTGATTTATTTTTTAGCCTTAGAATAGTGGTGCTCAATCTTTTGGTCCCATGGATCAGATGTGTGGCATAAGGCCAATCCATGGGCCAGATTGGGCCCTGCATGGCTTCACCCAACCCCTGTATGCTCAGATGGACCCCAGGGTTTGCTGCCACCGCTCCCCTGCCACAACACTTTCAGACCTGTGGGGAGACTCATGGGCCAGGTGACATGGCTTCAGGGACCAAATCTGGCCTGCAAGCCAGAGGTTGAGCACCTCTGCCTTAGAGTTCCAAGTTGTGGTGTGGGACTTGAATGCACAATCATCCTTTACAGACAGGCAAGCCCCTGACTGAGTGAAACTGATGCTTTGGAAACTGGTGTAATATCTACACAGATCTCAGTATGTTGTAAGCATAGGGATTTCTTTTTTAGCCACAGCATTTACGCTGAGAGGTTGGTAGACAGGCTGAAAACTAGCAATTCAGCTTGCTCAACTGTAAAGGCAAGAGGAATTTTGCCAAAGAACTGATTTCCCATCTCTGTTTAAAAAAACAAAACCAAAAGAAGTGTCATGGCCACTTTAGCACACTAGCAGATAAAACTTAAAAGACTAAAACAGTGACTTTGCAGTAAATTATGTGGATCTCTGTTTCTCTAGCTTGAACAAGTAACCCTGCTGTATTTCAGATTTGTGGCTCTAGGGAATCTTCAGTAGTTAACACTTAGGAGTTTAATCCTGCAGTCCATCTTCTTTGATGTACTTGGTTCTCTTTTGCCTGAATGTTGAAACTTGGCAGAGGAGGGTTGTTCCTCAGAAAGAGGTCTCCTAATTCCATTTTCCCTCTCATGAACATGTAAACTTCAATAGTTAGTCCTGTTGTATGTGCAGGTAGAAAGCTGTAAAAGTTTTAGTATGTCAAACCACTGTGTGCAAAATAAGTCCAAATATTTGGTCTATAGCCAATAGTTTTTTAAGCTTATGTTATGAGATTTTTTAATAGCCTGTGAAACATATACATGACTGTAGAAGAAGATGACTGGGTAAGAGGTTTAACAATCTGAGCCTATTTTCAGAATTCAGATCACCGAAAAAACAGCTTGAGCTTCTGGTTATTTATGGAACTCTGAAAAATATTGATAGGAATACAGCCTTGTTATCAATTATTTGCCATCTGTTCTCCTGGATATAAGAATAGCAGCATTTTTTTAGCAGTTAAAGGCAATTGGGATACCTTTTGTGGCTGGCTTTACTTTGGAAAAAGACATTCTTAAGAAAGCTTCAGAAGTGACTTGAAGATGTGAAAATGGCATTCACTTTGTTGACTTTCAGAGGAGCCCTAGGAAGCTTTAATTATCATCTTCTTATTTCAGTAAATTGTATTCTAATTGTATCTCTTGGTTTGTTGGTAGTCAGTTACTTTTGATCAGTTCACAGTTCATTTAAATCAATAAGCTATTCTTCCAGGTTGATCTGTGTTGGAGATCTAGAACAGGAGGAAAATACCACTTGTTTACTGCCATGGTACATGTTTGTGAGCTGTGTGGTGCTTTTTGCCACCAGCACAAATCCAATTTATATCTGTTTACACCTTTTTCTTTCAAGCCCACTTCAAATATAACAAATTGCTTCAGTCTCTAAATATTACTTTCCTTTCTAGCTGGAAGACGAAGCACTCAAATACATTGGTGCACACTGTCCTGAACTGGTGACTTTAAACCTACAAACTTGCTTAGTAAGTAAGCTTTGATTGTGATTCCCAGGTTACATGTAATGTATGTGTAGATGGCATATCTGAATAGAAACAAGTTAAACATAGCTCTTAAAGTCTCGGTTATGCAAGCAGACTGGGAATGGCAACTTTTTAAGCATATAAAAATAGCTTACAAAAATAGCTTTTTGGTTGCATTTGATGTAGTTGTATGAGCCCCCAAAATAGCCTTGTTAGCATTTGGCTTGGCAGCATCATTTTGTCTGTCTTTGCCCTGCCCAAAGGCCTTTTAAGCTCATTTGCAAGACTAGCTGGAAAAATTCTTTCCATTGAGCTGGAATATTTGGTATTGCATCCAAATTTTACACTGGCTTAAATTGGATCAAGAAATGCATTTGCCCTAAGGAAAAAGGTTTTTGAACGAACCATTAACATTGCCAAAAATGTACATTTAAGCCAAAAAAGGTTGAACTGGGCAGAGTTTTTTCAGCTTTCTGACATGGAAACAGTGGTAGGGGTGTCCTCTCCCTTTCCACCAAAGTTAGCAGAACCTTGCGGAACTTCAGAACTTTGTTTTAGTCGTTTGCATACTTGAGAAGTAGTTATATGTTGAAGTTCTCTCTGCAAAACTGTCTAGAAGCTGTGGCCAGCTATAATTTTCTGTGTTGACATTGGGTGCCTATGAGGAAATGGTTAGAGGAGATATGCTAGGGAGGAGTAGGCCTCTGTCTAGAATCTGGAATATGCTTCTGGAGTAAAGGTGAAAAAGAAAAGACATTCTTGATCACCATAGTATGAAATCCTGTAGTGTGGTATTTTCCTTTCATCTCATTCCAGTGTTGTCTCTCCAGTCTGCATTGTATATTATTCTTGAAAGAGTTAATGCCATTCTCTAGTACTTTTCTGCATTGGAATCAAATTTGATCAAGCCATGAAATTCAGTCATAGGCTTAGCCTGGATCCTGTTACAACCTGTTCTCCCCTAATGTGTCTTCTCTCATTTTCTTTTTTCCACTGTGTACATTTGTCTTTATCCCATACATCTATCCTCTGGCTGGCACGACCAAATTGAGGTCCAGAATGCCATTAACTCTTCTGCTACCAGCCAACATGTCACTCATCATTAGATGAGAGATTCTCCCTCAAGCATTGCCATCCCAAACTGGTTTGTGGAGTTACAGACAGGACCCGCTGTTGCATCTTCTTTGCCCTGGGATGCGACTCCCTTGAACCATAGCTAAATTAGCCCTAGTCTGGGATTCAAACCTTTGTCTGGCATAGTGATTCCCAAAAGGTGCCATGACAGCAGTGAAAGAGTGCTGCAAAAAGTGGGTGGGGTCAGGTCCAAAAAAAAGCATGCAGTGGGTATCAAAAGTTATGTTTTGAGCACCAAGACATAAAATGAGGTTTTAAAAAAATGGTTTGCAAATGTAAACTGTGCAGCTAAAATATGTATTGCATGGTGGCTGGTGTAACCTTTAATTTTCTAATACAACTGATGGCCAAGAAGCAGTTTTGAAAAGGATTGCTATCGAAATTAGGAGGCAGTTCTGCCCTGTTAGCTAGGGCATCCCATAGTGCCCTACTCCAGAAAATACACACATCCTAGTTCCTAAAACACTTGCATGCATATAAAATAGAATATGTGCATGCCATTTCTGAAGGGTTTCTGCTGTTTCAAATGTTTGAGTAAAAATGTTAGGATTTTTTTTGGTTGATAGTATTCTAGCTTGGTTCAAGCTGAATGTCCCTTTGCCTGTCTCAGATGGCAAAATATGCAATGTGTTGCATCTCTACCATCGTTATTAAGGGTTGTGGTGGTGTGTTTTTCTTGTAGCAAATAACAGATGATGGTCTCATTACAATATGCAGAGGATGCCACAAGTTGCAATCCTTGTGTGCCTCAGGCTGTTCTAACATTACAGATGCCATCTTGAATGCCCTGGGGCAAAACTGTCCACGGCTTAGGTAAGTTTTTGGTTGAGTCATGCAAGCTTCAGTGTCTTGATGCAAATGGGGTGAAGGTATTAGTGGCCTTGGTATTGTAACACTCTTACTGGTTTTGACTCCAGATGACTGAATGCCTAGTCCAATTTAGAAACCTCCTCAGCTATTCAGTGTAGGGAGGTTTTAGCTGTGTCCTAACTTTTGGTTCTGTAGAATGTAATCCTGTATGAACAGAAGAATGGCAAGAAACCTCAGTGCAGCAGAGTTGCATACTGCAGGGAGCCTTATATAGAATTAGAAACAATATCCTTTTTCAGTCATTATGTATAAGCATACACTTGGTTAAAACAACTGAAATTAGGCCAGAATGGTTTGTACTAGGTACTGGAAATAGAAGTTTGCAACTCCGTAGTTTTCTCTCTCAAGAGCTAGTTAACATGTCAAAAGGATAATTTTAGAGCAAGTGAAGCAAAGGTGGAGTTTGCACTAATTTTCACTGTCAGATTGAGAGAGAACAGGTTTTCAGTGCCATCCTTGCAGATTTTTTTTTTAAATCTATAATTTATTAGGGCAAGCAGCTCCATAAAGATTAGCTGTAATTCAGAAAATGACATGGTAGAGAAAGAAAAGGCAAGAATTATCTAGCATCTGTTACAGCTGGGGATCTTCCTATATGTTGAATAAAATAAGTGACCTCCAGAATAGAAATGGATTGTCTATAATAAGGCCAAAATTAAAGGATTATGGGTACATTGGGTACATGTGTGTAAACTGCATGTGTATGGAAAACAGCTTTGAAGAAGGAAAGTTTAAAACATACTGTTACATCTAATAGACTTACGTAGTAATATTATATTCTGTTGATCTTTTGGATAAAGTGCTGTGAAACAAAATATATAGCATTTAGGAAAGTTCCACCTTAGTTTTTTAAGACTGGGGATAATGTATTGTAGCACTAAAAATTAAAAACTTGTACTTCTGCAGTTTTTTTATTTGGGCAGTCATGCTGCCCTAGAAGTGAGCATCTTGCTTTCTAGAAAATTTTAATGCCATGAGGGTTTAAATGCTTTATCATTATGTGCCTTGTCTATTAGGGTATCAGGAAATGCTGTTTAGTATCATTCACTGCTTGATGATGAACTCAGAAAATGAGGTAGAAGAGGACCTATGTGTCTACTGGTGTGTAGACTTGGAAATACTCCTCTTAGATAAAATTTAGTCACTTTTTTTCCCTGGGTGGATACAAGATTTTTAACAAAGCAAAATTATTTCTGTGATTATAGCATTTTTTAATTCTTTCTGTACAGAATATTAGAAGTTGCAAGATGTTCTCAGCTAACAGATGTGGGCTTTACCACACTGGCTAGGGTAAGTGTTGCTTTCTCTTGTACCTGGAGCACTTTGAATGGAAACAAGAGGGTTAAGTGGATATCTAAATCAGATATTTCCCCTTAACTTTTCAACACTTTAGTCATTTGACTCTTACTCTAAGAGGTGATGCTTATCTTCTTAATAAAATGAATTGCATTTAGGAGTCAGCAGATACTTGCATCTGTTTATTCTGTTTACAAGTGATATTGAATCAACCCTCTTTTTCTCTGTAAATTAAAGGAGAAGATAAGTTAAAGGCATTTTAACTTATCTTCTCAGATTTGGAAAGAACATTTAGTCAAGTAATTTTACATTTACTGTTTGGGCTTTGTATTTAACTTGATCTTGTGTATACTTACAGAATTGTCACGAGCTTGAAAAAATGGACTTGGAAGAGTGTGTTCAGGTAAGAGGTGTAACCCTCTAATGGCTCTTTGAAATGCACCATTGTGTCACAGTAGGATGCAGATGTTTTCTGTACCATCAACATATGTAAGGTTTCTAGCAAAGCAAAGAAAGGACCAGTCTAGAAGCACCCCTTCATCCCTCTGCCCCCCCTTTTTTAAGGGACTTGTTCCAGAATCCCTATCAAGAAAAGAAGCTGCTAAGTTTGGGCAAAAATCTTGTATTTTTATCATTTTTCCTATTTTGCAGTAGAGAAATATATTGAAAATGTTAACAAATCCAAAGATCTAATCTGCAAATCATAGACCTCTCTGGAAACCTGATTATTTTAAGAACCTCAAGCCCCAGAATGAGATCTTTTATTCTTGAGAAGTGGAAAGGTCTCTGCTACATAAACATAGTAAGAAGAGGTCAATGAAAAGAATTTCCAAATATAAATTCCAAATATAAGATGATGTAGCTGAAGTGTTTGAACCATTACAACTTTGCATGTAAAGATGGGAGGAAAATAATAACAAGAAATAAAGGTGAGATGTCCTCCAACCAAAAATCTTCCCAGAAGATAGTAGGTTATAGTGCTTTACCAGCCACTGACTCTGTTACTGCTGACTCTTAATAATAGCTGTGTACCACAGATTCATACAGTAGTTTTTTTTATAGAAATGAACACTAAGTTTTGGAGTATATAGCCTCAGTCTGATAAAATTTTAAGGTAAGAGTTAAAGGATAAAATGACTCAGTAATTTGAGGTAAAAAAGCCCATGAAGGCAATTTTGAATTAGAAATAGTTAGGAAATTCAGGTAATGGGGTTTTGCTTCCTGAAATGAGAGAATAGTCTGGCCCCAGTATTCTCTACTTCCCGATGTTTATAGAGTAGGGATTCAGAAAGGCCACAAGAGAGGAAATTACAGTAGTCCAGACAGGATGTGTTCTAAAGCTGACCTGACAAGGAAGAAGAAAACTTGGGCTGTGTCTTTTTAGGTGCTTTGTACAAAGTCAGCCTAGCAAGTTTCTTTCTTGAGGGCCAAAGGAGGTTCCGCTTGCCTAGAAGTCTGTTGTATTATGGCAATAAGATGCTGTAGTAACTTAAAAACTGACGAAGAGTGCAAACATTCAGAGCCGAGGGTAGAAGGGGTTCAGGGCCATTTTATTAATGTGTTTCATCTTCAGTAGTAAATTAACATTTTGGAGAACTATTTTTTGTTAGACTGTTCTACCCTGCCTCTTTCATTGTGAGCTTGTTTCATCAAAAGCAAGGAAGAACCAACTTACCTGATGTTTCAAATGGAAAGAGCAAACAGAAAAAGAGCTTTAAAAACTCCTAAGGGAAGTGAGGGGAGAAACAGAATAAAGACACTGGACTTCAAGGCTAAGGACAGACACTACACATAAACTGGTTTAAGTGATCAGAAACCTGTAACAGAACAGATGTTCAGTGCACACAAATCAGTTTGAAAATGGCTGAAACCAGTTTGAGATAAACCTGGTTGAATGCAGTATCAGACTAAACTGA